GTCTACGATGAATTAATTGATGAGGAGAAGATTAGAATGTCATCAAGGTAGGTGATCAGGAACTGATCTGGGAAATCCAGAAATATGTCATTGACGAAGTGCTGGAATCTAGCAGGAGCATTGCAAGCCAAAAGGCATCACCAGGTACTCGAAATGTCCAAAACGGGAGCGAAAAGTAGTTTTCACCCTCCAGAATCCTAACAAGATTGTAAGCTCCCCTGAGATCCAGTGTTGTGAAAATAGAGGCTGAACAAAGTCTCTGAAATAATTCAGGAACAAGGGGAAGTGGGTAACAGTTCTTAATAGTGATTTAGTTCAGGTTCCGATAGTCGATGCATGGTCTTAGAGAATGATCTTTCTTTTCCACAAAGAAGATTCTTGCGCGTGCAGGGGAAGTGTAAGGTTGAATGAACTCCTTCCTGAGATTTTCATCTGTGTAGTTTTAATGTCTCAAGTTCAGGGGATAAATTTGTCCAAACTGAATTTCTGCACCAGGTAAACGTTCAATAGGGCAGTGATAAGTGCCATGGGTTGGCAAGACATCAGCTTTTTTATTAAAAACATCCAGGAATTCGTAGCAGACTGCAGCAACCAGTTGACATAGCTCAGGATTGTCTTTCAGAGGGTACAGAGACATGAGGGACCCAGGAACATGATTTAAACAGTTCATACTACAGTAAGGAGAATGAAACTCGACTTTGCCCATTTGCCGGTCGAACATCAGCCAGATGAACAGGAAGTCTCTGAATTTTATTTTGAAGAGGAAAATGCTGCAGCTGTGCAAAGTTACAATGTATAAAGCAAGCTACAAGCCCCCAAATCAATAATTGCTTGGGAGTGGAGTACCCCATCCCAAAGCTGAAATTAAATGGGGAGAACAATGTAGGGTTTTGGATTGGAGACTGGAGAGTCTGGAATCGCTATGAAAGGTAAAAAGCACTTACTGTGCTTGTTGGGACAGGTTCTTTCAAAAAGACCGGCACCACCACAGTATAGGTTTTTGTCTGCGATTCTTTTCCTCAATAGTCAGAGGCGCTCTCAAGAGGTTTAGTTGCATTGGTTCAGGAGTGTCTGAGGTAGCAGAAGAGATTGCAACCAGAACGACTGGAGCTGAAGAGACCTGTGGTAAGACCCAAGTGGGACGAGCAAAGCCAGTCCTTTATGACCGACGTTCCCTCAGGTGTCGGTCACTCAGAATGGAGAGTCTGATGATTTCCTCTAAAGACTTAGGAACCCCCCACATGAGCCAGTTTGTCCTTCAGAGTCTCAGAAAGTCCAACACAAATTTGGGAGTGGAGGGCCACATCATTCCACTCAGTGTCGGTACTCCATCTCCTGAACTCTGCTACATAGTCCTCCACAGGCCTCTGGCCTTGCTTTAGTGAATGTAGGGTAGACTCTGTGGTGGTTGCTCAATGAGAATTGTCATAGAGTGTCATGGCTTCGAAGAAAGACAACACTGAATTTAGGACTATCTTGTTCCAAGAGTGGGTGAGCACAGGCTTGAGGTTCACCGGACAGTAGTGCAATTATAAACCCCACTTTAACAGTCTCTGAAGAAAGCAACTGTAGCTGTAACATGAAGTGGAGATAGGTCAAGGCCTAGATAGCCCATCTGGCGCCAGGATCTGTGGTATGTGCGCGCGTGACGCATGCCCAGGCCTGCTTCTACCGTGTCTCCCCGAAAGTAAGACCTACCCCGAAAATAAGACCTAACATGTTCCATTGGCCCAATTTATGTCTGGGTAATTGAAGTCACCCATCACGACTACATTGCCCTCTCTCCCAGCTATTCCTATCTGTGAGTGAAGATTGACTTCTCCCTCTTCCCCTATATTTGGAGGTTTATAGCAAATACCCACGAGAAGTTTACGGCTAGCGTCCGTCATATCTAGCTCCAGCCATAGAGTTTCCACGTCTTCACCATTATTTGACATGATATCGTCCCGTATATGCACATTTAGATTATTTTTTACGTAAATGCAAACATGTATTGCTGCATCCAAGTAGCCAGCAAGGGGTCTGAGTGTAAAAATCAATGATATGTGCAGCTTGTCTCCTGTTTGCATGTGCGGTCTAATAAAATGTCACGATCGCAAAGCTCCCTCCCTCTCGCTGGCCCGTCTGCCTGCCGGTCCACCCGTCTGCATGTACGGTCTAAAAACAAGTCAAGATCGTAAAAAACTTTCTGGCCGCAGCTCCCTCCGGCCCGTCTGCAAGCCGTTCCGCCCGACTGCCTCCCGACTGCCTCGGCTTTTAGGATGCCTGGACGGCATCAGAGAGCTCCAGACAGCTGCAGCCAGGTACCGTACTGTGACACTGTGTGACAGTCACAGTACCATTCTTTCACTCCCCTTCTCCAGTACTGTATGATACAGTACATTACATGCCGGTATCTCTGCTCTGTGTAACAGTCACATCCAGCCGGCCGCAGCTTCTGCCCCGCCCACACGCCAGCCGCAGCTCCCGCCCACACGCCCACCGGCCGCAGCTCACGCACGCACGCAGCTCCTGCCCCGCCCACACGCCAGCCGCAGCTCCCGCCCACACACCCGCAGCTCACGCATGCACGCACAATGGAAGCGACATCCGCCGGGACCGGCAACAGCACGCCGCCTTCCAGGACCTCATCCACTCCTCCCCCAGCCAGGTAAGACATCCCCCGAAAATAAGACCTAGTGTCTTATTTCGTGCAAAAAAATAAATAAGACAGTGTCTTATTTTCGGGGAAACACGGTATGGACCACAGCAGGCGGATGCGCATGCGCAGCTGCTTGTGCCGTGCTCACAATAGCGTCTTCTTGACAGGTATAAAGGGGCTTTCCCATTTGTTTATCTGTTCCTCTTAATTATGTCATATATTAATGTATATTTTTCATAATTAAAATTAGTATATACTTACAAAGTATGTATGTTTTAGTTAGTTTGAATGACAGTCTTGTTTTATGGCTAATAGGTAATTGATGTAATATATTATAAGACAATATGTCAATATTTTATACAGTCTCCTTTGGTATGCAGAAGGTTGAGGTCACCAGTGTACCCCATCATAACTGTTTCTCTTGACATTTTCTAATATTTCGATCACCGCTTAGCTCTAGGCTGAATTATTTTTTTGTTACAAAACTAGCAGATGTTATGTGCCGGCTGAAAGGAAGATGAACCTAAAATATTTATGGTTATATGTATAAAAATAGTTGTTCTCATGAAGTAGGGTTTTGTGCTGTGTGCGAACATGATCACTTTTGTTGAAGCAGTACATGAATAAGTCTGCTGCTTTTAAATTCGCCATGACCATTGCTGTATATTGGGCACACTATAAATTATATTTAATCCTATTAGTAAGCTACAATGGATACTCTTTTAAATTGAATCAGTGGTTGAAGGAAAATTACACAGCACTTGGCTAAAAGCATATAATTTGTGTAACTGATGCTTTTAACTAATATAAGTAGCCAAGTCTTGGAATTTCAGAATGTTTGAGAAGTTCCATATACTCACATTTTCCCGAGGAGAAGTTTAAGTTCAAACTGCTTTCTTTGTTCCTGTGGTGAAAAACAGATCTGCTTCATTAGACGTCTGATGGAAACTTTTAGAGAATATGGTTTTAATGCCTTGCATTTAGTTGCATGTTTGTTATGCTTGTTTACTCCCCATTTATATAATTATGTAGTCTACGCTACCTTTTGTTTGGAAGTGTGAAGGCTCATCAGTTAAGAAGCAGTATACCCCGTACGCTAGCAATTAAAACATACATGCTTGTAATGCACACGAAAAATTGACATTATTTCTAGGCTGGATATACTGTGACAAACTTGTGATATCGCTTCAGTCTTAAAGTGCACCTGTACTATGCCATTCAAGGCAAAGCAACAGGTTTGCCCGGTTCTTTGGCTTACTCCCCAGGAAGCACAGATTTTCATGAAGGTGAAGCAGGATTTTTGAGAAAAAAAGCAACTTATTCTTGATGCATCTTTCATATATTATTTTTTTTTACATTATAGACAATGGTAATGCACTAAAAATGCTCTAAGCAATTAATTTAGTGTGCTCTGAGTCGTATGTCCAGGATTTCCCACAAAACGAAGACAGGAAGCGATGGGTATTGCATAGCATTATATTTAACAGCTACATATTAAAAACACATTTTGCTTTCTTTATAAAATGAACTTACCCTAAAACAAATGGAAAATGCCTGATGGTTTAGGTGCCATTATTAATAATGTAAGCGTTACACCAGTATGTTTTTTGACAGTTATGTTTTGTGATAATTAAGTTAGCAGCATTTTAAGTGCGTTTGGATTAAAAATGAATGTTAGATTGAAATCAAATCTAACGTCCATGTAAACCACATGCAAAATGCATGTAATGGGCACATTTTATACATTTTTCAAAATGGTGGCAGGAAATGACTATATTAACCCTAGTTTCATTTTAAATCGCAATGTACTAAAATGCTTCACAAGACCTATCAAAAGATGAAATGTACTTTCTTCCTTTAGGCTCTGGCAAATGTATTAAAAGCAGATCATCTCCTATTTATTTTACATTTAGGAAGGTCATCTTTTTAATATTGTTAAGTGCTACATAAAGAATATCGCTTTCAGCAGCAAAATCTATGAGCTAGCGTTGCTCAAAGAACTATCTAGTGTACCTTTAGAGCACGTATGATTTCTGGCAAGTGATATCTTTGTCTTTAACACGACAAGAGAATGATGACACCCTCTATACTAATGGCATACATAATATACATTGAAGAGCTTTTCACAGTAAGAGAACTTGTCAAGTATAACATCCTAATTTACAGATAGCATTTATGCGTCAAATCTTTAGGGGTTTTACTGTCTTGGATTGTGTCTATTATCAACAGGTATAGCTAAGCAGAAATATTTCTACCATTGTTCGGGGTAAAAATAACATACATTTATCATGCACCACATGCTATTAACAATGATTATTTGATGCTAAACTTAAGAATGATTTTCATTTCTTTTTTAAAGGCTTCAAAACTTTCAATGTCAATTATCATTGTGGGAGTGGGACCTGCAGAATTTGATGGTGAGTTTTTCACATATGTTCATATATTGAACTGCATTCATTACTTTGCGGGAAAAAGCCAAGCAATGAACCTTGAAGGAATGCTCAGTGGAAGCAGAAATAAATATCTCATAGTACTTCAACTTCTTTCACCTTTAGTTAAGTGTTTGAAATGTGTGATGGAAGCAGTATTCAGGTGTTGGGTCCTTCAAGCACTCTAATTCAGTAGCATCATATCACACTGGTCTCACAAAAAACAAGTGGTCAAGCTGTCATAAAATAATACTTGGGATGTGCTGTATTTCTAATTATAATTATTCTGTGATTAGGGAAGGTTGTTTACCTGTTTTTTTTTTTATTAGATATTAGGACTTAAAGTGTATTTCCACTTTTGCAGTCAGATTTGAGAAAACCTCTGTTATATGTTTGTAATGTGCATCTATTCACACAGCATACTGAAAAATCATTTTTAAAATAATATTTGGCGTTATTTCGCTTTTGGGTCACAAGAGGACATTTACTAATGTCCTCCTGTGACACAAAACTCTGCAAAAAGTGGGCTTTTGTCCGATATATGCTGACAGTGCAGAGCCGCACTACAGCCGAAAAAGATCCTGACAATATTGTCAGGATCCACCCTGCTACCTGATTGACAGCTGGCCCTGCCTCTCTAGAGTCAGAGCCAGATGTGCCCACCCCCTCCCCTGTCTGTCCCTCCAGTCAGTGCTGGAGGAACGGAGAGAGGAGGGGGGAATCCCTGCAGGGAGCGGTGACTGGCAGGAAGATGATCGTGAACTGAGCAATCTGCGATTTGTGATCACTCTTAAACTATAGAGCCGACGTGTGACAGCTGCAAGGTCATACGTTGGCTCTAACTGTGTGAGTGCATTTCACTCTCCCCATAGTTCTTCGTTAAATTCATTAACATACAATGGAGAAGCCCCTCATCCCTCAAAACCCCTCCTCATATTAACCTCCCTGGCGGTATGATTATGCAGGATTTTAGCATGCCAAAGCAGTACATTGTTTTTCATGGCAATTTCTTGTTTTATATTGTAGGCCTGTAATTCTTAGTAAATCTTAGGAATGACTCACCTAAATCTGTCCAAACAAGAGTCCAGTAGACATCCCGGGTATGATAAAGTTTGAAACACGAAATCATAAATAATATTATAAATAATTATAAGAAATTATAATATAATCGATAATTATACAAAATTATAATATAATAATTTAAAAAATTATAATAAAAAAAATGGTCCAGTAAATGGGAATTCTGGGGGCGCTGCCTGATCCATACCACAGTCAATAGAGTAAAGTAAAAGTGCAGGCAGGGCACTGGACAAAGCTATGGGGACAAAATTGAAGTGAAATAGTTTAAAACATATATGTAATTATAGCAGATTACATTGTATTGTGTGTATTCTGTGTAAATGTCATGTTTGCACTTTTAAATTTTCCGCCGTCTCCGTCCCCCGCTGTGACCCCCGAAAACTAAACTGAAAGCTGAATGCCGGCATCGGTCGGGCGCACACAGCAGAGGACACCACGGGCTAGCAGGGACAAGGCAAGTGACACTTTCGCGCAATCCCGAGTGTGGCTCGGGGGTTACCGCTCTTGGTCCTGAAAATTAACCCTGAGCCACACTCGGGAATACCGCCAGGGTGGTTAAAAAGGAGAAGCAAGTAGAAATGTTAATCCTTAAGAATTAACATTTCTACTTGCTAATTAATCCTTAAGAAGCCAAGAAACCCTAACCCAACTGAAATCAATTTAAACTGCATTTTTAAAATATTTTTTTAGCTTAAGCTCTGTGAATGAGAACATGTAACAAATAAAAAATAGGTATTATCCAAATTGGGTGCAAAAGTTGAATTACACTCTGAGTTCTGCTTCCATTCTGCTTCCGTTATCTATTCACTAGAGATGACAAAGGGTACAGCTTGGTCTGTTATTCTGTAAGATAATTTTTGGCAGTGACCACTAAAGGGCTCACATTCCTGCCAACACTGTGTATCTGTGATTGCATTTGCTTTATTTTCTGTGCTTTGGATGCCTTACTTGCTAAATGGCATAAAACACAGACACTGGTAATATAATTCAAGTAAATGAACAGCCATACTCCTGGGCTTTGTCCAGCAGCGTTAAACAAATTCTTAACTGGGGTCTTTAAATTTTCTCTTTAATTAAAGTATGTTATTTAAAACCAAACAAGAGCTTGTTTACAGGTCAGTTTTCTCTATACAAAGGCCTACTTCAGTGAAAAAGAAATGTGCAATTTACAGACAATGTAGCAGAGTTTTGGCCACAACCCCACTTTCCCCTTAAGAATCAATAAGTTGTGAAAGAAGTGACTATAGAGGCAAACATCTATATACTTTAAATGTGTACCTCTGGCTGGAAAATGCTGTGTGATAAAGTTGCACGGAATGAAGGGTCATCTGCTATAGAAAGATTAAATGTAAAAGGTCACCACCGTACACTACTCATTGTTTACTGTGTTTGAATGTATATTTTGACGTACTTTTTCACAACCCGTTTAGATTTTTTCTATCAATCCAGCAATGAATGCGTGTATAAAAGCACAGTTGTAACATACGATATGTTTCAACAGAAAGATGGATAGATCAATAGATAGGAAGAAAGACACCTTTATTTGTGTTTGTGATATTATAGAAGAAATACTATGGGGTGGCTTTATAAACAAGTTGCAGAGCCATTCATCCTTCAAAACTGTGTGAAGTTGTGTTTTGTGCATATGGAGTAAAAAAAAAAAATGTTTTTAGTAAATGCTAATTTCCTATACTCCTCAGCTCCATCTACTGGCCATAGTACAGTATTTTCCTAATAATACATTTGACTTGAAAATAAAATATACTAAGAGCAATAATTTTTGCTTACATTCACACAGAATAGATATACACAGAGTTTCACAGAATGAATGGCTATGTTTATTGTTTATAAATACAGCCCTAACTGTTTAAGCAAATGCCTCCTCTGTGCTGAAAGGTATCCACAGACAGGATCACTGCCCAGTCTGGATGAAGTTGGGCAGACCAGGCCTCAAGTCAGTGGGTACCACTGTGCAGACCTGTGCAGGCATTTCAGTGTGACCATTTTCAGCTGATAGCTAGCTTCTCTCCCAGGATTAGGCCATCACTAGGTGTTTCAGCTTGTCCTTACTCATTCTTGTTTTGAGATCAACAGGAATGCACATTGTCGGATTCTAATCTATGCTTTAACTATATGTACTAGAATTTCCACATGCAGACTTACCTTCATTCGTGTGGTCGTGCCTGCTGAAAAAAAAAAAAAATTCAGACTTTTTCCTGTGCCTAGTGTGCAATAGTACTAGAGCCCTCTTCACTCCTATGGATGGTTCCCGTTCATGGCGGGCCTCAGCTATATAGTGGCATATAGACCATCCATAGGAATTAATAGGTCTGCAGTGTTTGTGTGCACCAGACAGAGAACCCGGTTGGGATGTTTTTCTTGCAAAGAATGTGTGGCATCAGACAGAGCCACATAATGAAGAATTCAGGAGCAGGAATAAAGATTAAGGGGATGAGGGTACATTTAAAACACAATTCTACTAAAAGTTAACAGGGCTATTCACAAAAGGGTGAAGAGTTTGGAGAAGGCAGGAGAAGTGAACAATCTAGGCCAAAATAGCTGATTTGGAAAAATTCTCCAATTCAGCTCACTTTCCCATTCAGCTATTTTGTCCTAGATTGTTCACTTCTCCTGCCTTCTCCAAACTCTTCACCCTTTTGTGAATAACCCTGTAAGTTGTCCTTTAAAAGGACTGATCTTAGAATATGTAAACTGCCATGGCAATAAGTGTTCTTGTCAAATGATACTTGAGATATGTGACCCACATTGGGGAGTACTTAGTAAATACTGGCTTTTATAAAGGAGTACATGCATAAATTTGATTAATACGGTGTTATAATATTTGTATTAGTGTTTTTTTTCTTTACAAATTTGTATTTATTTTCAAGCTATGGTAGAATTGGATGGAGATGAAGTCCGAGTATCTTCAAGAGGACGGTATGCAGAAAGGGACATTGTCCAGGTAATACCTTACTTGTTAAACCTTGCTTTCAAAATAAATGAATAAAACCTCTTGTACCAGTGTTTAAAGGAACTGTAGACATTAGATTTTAAATATTGGCTAGTTGCTAAAGTATATTACAAGCAAGATTCTTCTGACATGTGAAACATATGCAGCACACCCCTGACCCCGAAAAGCATGTGAAGTACCCCAGAGGCAGGGTGGGCTAGTATTTCACTCCAGGGGTAATTTCTTGGCTGATTGTGGAGTGTGAATATATGTTGGGCACCAGTCACTTTAAGGTGTTTGAAAGATTGTATTACTTGTTAGCTCACAAGGAGAGAGGGATAAGGGTTACAGAACCCAGGACATGTTATAAACTCCAGGCAAAATATTTACTTTCCAGCTATATAGAGCAAAGAGCCTTTAAACTGGAATAACTGTATATAGCAGAACTTGAGCTGATTAGCAGACCTCTCTGTGTGTCCTCCCAAGAGAGTTACCAGGCTACTAGAGGTCACAGTCAGCAAAACATTCAGCCCCGGGCAGGAGTCCAGTGGGAAGAAACACACTTACAAGGTCAGCCCCAAATATGTATGTCCCTCCCCAGCATGCACCACTGGCAATAAAGCTCCTAGAGGGGGATTTATCAAAATCTGTAACACCTGTACACAGCAACCAATCAGCATCTCTCTTTCATTTTCAAATCTTAACTGAACAGATTGAAGAGATAAGCTGATTGGTTGCCATAGGCAACTGCTCCAGTTTTTCTCTGCTCCAGGTTTGATCAATTCCCCCCTAAGTGTGAGACACAAATATTCATAACCAGCATTATTGTATCTTCTTGCTCTATTGCCAGAGTCACACCCCAGCAGCAGGCAGAAACAGACATTACCAATAGGCTTAGGGGAGAAATTAGTACAGCACTATCAATTTGACTTGTTACAGCTGAGCAGTGCTATATTTAAGTAGCCACCCTGCTTAGGGCAAGGTGGCTACACATATTCTATTTCGTGCATACAGTCCTTAAAATATTGTGAACATTGCTACTTGTTTTATTTAGTAATCACAATTGATAACAATATGGAGTTGGCAGCAAGCATGGTTCCCCCTTTGGTAAATACTAAGATTATTTGCACTGCATACACTATGGGAGGAATTTGTCAAAACTGGAGCAGACACAATCTGGAGCGTGTGCCCAGGGCAATCATTCAGCTGCTCTTTTCAGTTTGTTCAGATAAGATTTGAAAATGAAAGAGAGAGGCTGATTGGTTGCCATGCACAGCTGCTTCAGATTTTGTCTGCTCCAGTTTTGATAAATCCCCCTCTATATCTTGAACTAATATAACCAATATAATAATATTAGCCAAGTTACTTTTGTTACCAGCCTAAGACAATTCCTGGTATATTCCTTTGGAGAATCCATGTAAAGAGTACAGGATACAGTAATGTTGTATCACATGACAATTCATGGAACGGATACATTCTAAGATTATGGGGAATTCACTTAAGATGTCAATATCAGATCAGATGAAAAGCTGAGCTTAGGCTGCCAAGCTGTATCTTGAATGTGGCAAGGCACCATGCTTTGGCACAGGACAACTATAAGGGCATAGCAGGGGATTGAATACTACTACTGCTGGATAAAATTTTGGGGTGTAGTGTATAGTGACTGTGTTATCTATGATGCTGTTATAATTATTAAATACCAATTTACTAAAATGCTTATCAGCAACATGCTATGAATCAATTTTTCTCAAGTGGGTCGCGACCCCATGTTCAGTGGGTCACCCCGTGCCTTCCTCAGCCTCCCCCTTTTGCAGCACTGCCAGTTCTTGAGCCAAACAGCCATTCAAAATATGCTGCCCAGTGCCAAGTGTCAGCTTGAGGTGCCTGGACTGGAGTGACGCCACATTCTGGCTCCCAGCACCTCTACAGGGCACGCAAGGGTGCTGTACAAGCAATGCACATATGGATGGAGCTCTGTCACAGCACAGCAGCCCACACCAGACCCCAGGCTGAGGATCCACTCCAGTTCTGGTAAGGTATGGAGACTGGGTGGACATTTTGAATGGCACCCCAAATGCACCTCCCACCCACAGTTCGATCGCCCGCACCGGAACGCACGGTACTGCAATGCTGTGCATCCCATTGCAGTGCGACTTGGGTCACGACCTAATGACCGAGGACAAATGTGTGTCCTGAGGTTACATAGGTTGAGAACCACTGCTATAAATCCACTGTTTTATTCTGTTATACATTGCTTTGAGAAAAGCTTGAATTATATTAGGATTAATTTAGAACATGTGAGAATGAAGGTGTGTTACATAAGATATCACATTCTCTGTAACCATATAATTATGTCTTTTGATTATAGTTTGTTCCTTTCCGAGACTACATTGACCGAACTGGAAACCATGTACTCAGCATGGCACGACTTGCTAAAGATGTATTAGCAGAGATTCCGGATCAGTTTCTCTTGTACATGAGATCCAGAGGATTCAAGCCATTTCCTGCTCCACCTCCATACACACCAACTGGGCACCCTTTACAGACTCAGATCTGACTAGTATAAAGTACAGTTCTTCCAACATTTGTGAAATCTTGCAAGCTGCCGATGCCAGGCCAGCTTCAACGTAAGGTGCACTAAGTCTGGACTTTTGAAGAGCCTGCTTGTTTGCATTGAATAGAGATTGACTTTTCCGGATCTAAATGATTCTGTTTACAGACCAAAACTGTAAATATGGATACATGTGAAAGCAGAAAGATTTTATATACTCGACAGGAAAAAATCAAATGACTGAAACTGTTTCCTGAGTCTTATTTTTGTGACCATTTATTTTTATTATTAAAACTGTTGGGGGAAGCACAAATCACACCCTTAACCCAAACTGTATCAATCTCCCTAACCGAGCTCTACTTATGTGGGAATGCAATTCCTTGGTGTTAATGTTTACATGTTACTAATTTTTAAATTTCAGTACTTTTGTAACTATTCTTACAGAAAGTTTTAAATTCTATAAAATCCAGTGTCTTCTGACTGGCAATAAATATAGCCACAAAAAAAGCAATAGCACTTTAATGGATCTCTTACACAAACATTAAGAGATGTGGACAAGTGCTTTCACACGTCTTTGAAAGGAAGAAGAAATCCTGAGATGCAGCACTTAATAGCCTGTCCTCATAAGTAAATTAGCTTACCACACACAAATCAGAAAAAGTGTGATTTTATTTTGAATATTTTACCCTGAATAATTTATTCTTAATTTAAAAAAAAAAACCTTGCCAAAAAAAGATAACTCTCAAAAAGAGCAACTAATTATTATTACAAATTCAAATAAATCTACATGCCTGGTTGAATCTTTTTTTTTTTAGAAAAAACTAAGATATTTACTTTGTAAAGTTTTAAAAAGATGCATGGTGTCTAAATCTTTGTGTGTCAAAGAGACGATAACATGTTGAGGTTTCCTGTTAGCACCTACTCACATTAATGCCGTTGAGTATGAGAAGATGGAATTGGTAAGAACCCTGTCTTCCATTGCCCCGCAGGGGTAATGCTAACACAGGACTTTGAGGTGTCACAAGAAATGTGTGTGAAATGCACGCACGTGTTACTTAATACACAAAAGCTATGTTTACTAAATTACCCAAATACATATATATGCTTGTTCATATATAATGGTACAACTGTTTTTTTTTTGTTTTTTTTGCATGTACAGTTTGTACAACATATAATACAGTTTTGTGCTACTAAGTGTCAAATACAATACATTATACTAGAACTAATGGCCTTAAACACACACCCAGTTCCTCAAAATGATTGTGAATTGCCTTTAAATAATGGAAATTATTCTATATTTTTCTTTTTTTTGTGTCAACCTTGTATCTGACTTGTAAATGTAATTTTATTTGCATAATATATGCATAAATATTTTGTCTATTTCTATGATGTACTGTTAAAACAAAATTTATTGTAATTACTCATTTCTTTTGTAAGCATGGTAACAGGTATTTTGCTGAATCAAATTATCTCTGCAATTTTAGAGGATATATACTTATGTAATGCTATATCTTAATTTTTTTATTATATTAAAAATATTGAAACACTGCCTACATGTTTTTGTATTACTTATGAGGCAACATGGAGAAAAGCTTATCAAGAATTAATTTAAAAGATTGTGGTGTAGTATGGATTTTTCTAATTACTTAACTAACATGAAATGCTGTGGCTTGATCCAAGGAGACTAACAGGTGCAATGTCAGTGAGACTTTTAATGTTATTTATTATTAAATGCATAAGGGCAGGTGTCAATACAGTTGTAATGTTAATAGGTCACTAAATCATTACCTCCAAATAAATACAGTTTTTTAAACATTTAGAAAATTATGCATGTGATAATACTACTACTTTTGAGCTCATAAGTGGTTGTTCGCACTTGAGAGTTAACCCGAACAAAGCCTAAGGGACACAATAGACACTTAAAGTAGTATTAAACTCTTAAACTTTTTCAGTAATTAATCCAGATCAAACAAATATACATTGCCCAGCAAAATATGTATTTATATTTTTGCCCAAACACTTACAGGGCTATTCACAAAAGGGTGAAGAGTTTGGAGAAGGCAGGAGAAGTGAACAATCTAGGACAACATAGCTGAACTGGAAAGTGAGCTGAATTGGAGAATTTTTCCAAATCAGCTATGTTGTCCTAGACTGTTCACTTCTCCTGCCTTCTCCAAACTCTTCACCCTTTTGTGAATAACCCTGTTAGTCATCATGTTTCCAAGCAGCTCCCACACTCCCAGCTGGGCTTCCTGTCCAACACAAGGTCACAAGGGTCAGCGCAGTCTCCAGCAGCCATCCATCTACTAGCTTGGAGAAAGGAGAAGGAAAGAGATAGGAAGGAGGAACAGGGAGGTAATATATATACCTTTTCCCTGGCCTTTCATACTGCAGGAGGTGATGTCATGCTTCTTCTGACTAGATCCTAGAAAATGCTAGGTAGCCAAAATCTCGAGACATGATACATAAGCTCAGTCTAGTAGTTTGCTTCGGTAAGATTTGGACTACTCAGTAGCGTGTTGTCATCCTCACCTAGGCGCTGTGGGCTAGAGGAAAGATAAGTGTAAGGGCAATAGCCTGCGATATACTGAGCTATGGGTCACGACCCTAAAGAGAACTATGGGGAAAAACACTTACCCCATAGTTCTCTTTTAAATCTTTTTTTTTTTTTCTCTACACCTATTTTAATTATTTTTTGCAGTGTCAAGCATGTGTTTAGTGGATCAGGGAGAAAAGTAAATAAGTGAACTTTGCATTTTGGTGCAAGGTCCATTTTCAGCAACTTCCCTGGTTTGCAACAACCATTTCCCTGACCGCCTTCTTTTCTTCCTTCCATTCACCTTCTCTTCTTTCTCTTAGGGTTTATTCAATACCAATCAATCTGTTTCCAGGCAGTAAACAATGTGTTTCCAGGAATAGTTCACTGGATCAGGTAAATAAGTGCTAAAAGACCAGGATCCCTGTGGAACATTGCAAAATTAAACATGAAGCTCACAATGGCTGTAATACATTTATATTTAAAAATATAAGCCTACCCCTGTAAAGCCGTCTAGGTAATTGCATGTATTCTAAAGTCTTGTACTGGTATGCAGAAAGAAAAGACTGCAAAAAAGTGAAACCTTGGTCAATTAAGTAGACACAATTTGAGGCTTGTGAACTAAGTGTATTTAAAAAAAGTGAGTTAAAAACACAGGAGTTGACAGTAACACAAGTTTAAATCCTATAAGTAATATTATACTCTTAACAAATTAGCATGTATTGAAGCTGGGATAATGAGTGGTAGCAAGGATTTTATTATTTTTCTTGTTTGCATATAGGCTATTCACTTTGCAATAGAATTTTCCCTTAGCAAATAAATGTGATGAAACACTGCAAAGAATACCCAATCACTTGCAAGGAAAATAAACAGAATTTCTATATATACGTTATTGGATGGTGGATCTCATCAAAGCTTCACCTCATTCACTAACCTAAGAAAAAATTATTTTGCAAAGTGAACAGCCTATTTGCCTTGGTAAATCAACCACAATGTGTCATATACTGGACAGGTGTAGTAACACTTAGACAGGTGTGGTTTGTTTCATTCAGAATTTTCAGAAATGTGGACATTCTGATGCATCCAAATTTCCGAATGACAGAAATAACGAATTCGAATTTCCGATAATGAAAATTTCAGATGCATCCAAATTTATTTCCGAAAGCACTTTTCTGTTAAACAACTGTTTAAAAAAAAGTGTGGGGTTCCCCCTAATTGATAACTAGCACTTTAGGTCTGTAAGGAAGGTTAGGGGGGATCCCTGATGTAAAAAAAAAAGCATGGAGTTCCCCTTAAACGTTATACCAGACCCTTCCTCACACCCTGGCCCGGTGGTTATGGGGGTTTGCTGCACCACAAACGCCAAACAACATAAACACTACACTTTTGAAAAGCTTCTTTAGTTGAACAAAAAAAAACAGAGACCGTTTTTGACAAATAGACAAAGCAGAAAAGAGGGCAACTAAATAATAAAGGACATTAAAGACTAACTTGAATGTCTTTCTCGTTCATTATAATGCTGCCTATGGAGGAATTGGACACTGGCAAACATAAAAGCCATTGGCCAGCAGGTATAACCCTTCCCACTCCCATCATGTTTCAGTTTTCCTAGTGTCCTAGGAGGATCCACATCCTTTCTCTGTTGATAAAAGTTAAGCTTTATTTTTCTCTTAACATTTTTTTTTTGCTTCAATCAAGTCTTCATCTACATGCTACTGAGCTCAGCATTTAATGCAGCTATCTGGACTGATTTTCTTCACTGATACTTTGGAGGTACTACCCATCTCCCGCTGGACCTAAGATTGTGGGGCTACCCTGGTATTTGCAAGGCTATCACCAGGTCTTCTGTTAACACGTTCTCTAAGTTCTACCAAGGGATGTTCAGGCCACGTCTGATGTCAGCTTTAGGTGTAAGGTACTTCAGGCAGCCCTTTGAGCTACCGGTTGCACCCAGTTATGTTGTTTTTGTTATATGGCCCTGTTAGCATTTTGTTACTGTCACCCTCCCCTCAGTACCGTAAAATTAATTTCTTGGAGTTTATTAGGGACACAGGTCCCACCCCTCTGTGTTTATGATGTACTTCTTATACTTCTAGCTATTTATGGCTTTGCTTCTTAAAGACTGAACTGCTTGTTGACAGTTATATCACTAGTGTCAGGGTAATTTCAGTGTGCTGCTCATGTGATTATTGGCCACAAGCAGTTAAATCTTTCGGTAGCAAAGAGATCTAATCGCCATACACCAGTCCCAACCTTCAGGGAAATTGTATCCAATGTGGAAAATGGGCAATTGCCTAGAGCCCACCATCACAACTAGGGCCCAAAACTAGAGGGGAAGTTTTCTTTAGTCAGTGCATCCCTATCAGGGAGGCACAGTTCCTTGCGGCCACAAGTGAAAAGCTGTGCACAGCCAGAAGGAACTGTACCTACCTTATAGGGATGGACAGATACTGGTGCTTTAAATTTTTATACTGAAGAGGCTGCCTAAGGGAATCTCCGCAGCCTTCCTGTTAACTGCATGCGGCATCCGCACAGCCCTTGTGAGACCCCGCACAGTCCTGGTGAGACCCCGCACAGCCCCTGTGGGACCCTGCATGGCTCTCCTAAGACCCTGCACAGCCCTCCTGAGACCTGGCACAACCCGCCTGAGACACCACACAGCCCACCTGAGACCATGTACTGCTTTCCTGAGACTCTGGAGACATCAGGCCGCCACCCTGGATCAACACTGAGCATGTAGCTTCATATTACTCTGCATTGCTGTATAACTTATTGCTGGGATATGTATTTTTACATAGCTGGTTCTATTCTGCATTGCTGTAATATGTATTGCTGGGATTTGTAGTCCTCTATAGCCGATGCTGTTCTGCATTGCTATATAATGTAGTGCTGAGAATTGTAGCCCCCCTTCAGCTTGGAGCCAGTGGCAGAACTAGGTAATAGCTTAACAAAAATGTCAACATTGATTGGTTTGCTGTAATACTGCTCTACCTATTTGCCCAGATCAAAAAAGTCCTTCTAAGACCCTCCACCCAAGACATTAGGCCATGGGGGCCCACTATTTTATTTTTTGCCCAGGGCCCAACAGAGCCCTTTCAGTCGTAGGCATTTTTTGGTGAAAAGAGGAATGCATTTCAAGCATCCGCTGGAGCAGATTATAAAGGTGCCATGT